TGCGAGTTCTTCTTTCCCTGTTTCATTCGATGCTGTTATTCAGGGTGAGGGTGATAGAGCTTCATTTTTCCTCTTCTCTTTTGCGGTGCTGATTGTGTAAACTTAAAAATCTTCTCTTCCTCTAAGCTGTGCTTGTGTGCATATGATTTCAGGGGGACATTGGCCCTCCATTTCATTTTTGTTCCCTTTCCTTTCTTTATCTAATGGGGTGTTTGGATGTGAGGAGCTGAAACTTTTTTCATTTTTGTAGTTGGATGTCAAACAGAGGGGAAAATATGGGGCTTAGCTATGTTTTAAAGATAAAAGACTTGCTTGAATAGCTAATCTATGGCCATTCCGTGAAAAACTACAAGACAAATAAGATGAATTGAGGTTTTGTTTTTCTTTCCTTAGGTTTAAATCGATTATTGGTAAATAATTAAGTTTGGGAAGCATAGTAAATTTATATTGATGTTTAGAAATTGTTGAGCAAGAGATTTGAGGAGCATGAGACTTGATGGTATAGTCTGAAATTTGATGCCCACAAAGTGTTTGTTAAAATGTGTAGAAGAGTTGGAATGCAATAATTGAATATATTCAATGTATTAAGGATTAAAATTTAAATTTGGGACCATGTTTTTATCTTATACGAAGTCAGATATTGTTGTGAAATTTAATCTAAGAAATGTAGATGCTTGAAAGTTGTATGGTTGATAATTCACAAATTTTGGTACTTGTGTATGATTTGATTTGAGAACTCATATAAGATGTTTGATTTAATGAATAACTAAGCATGGATAATGAATCACTGACTAAATTTTAGTATAGAAGTTATTCAATTTTATGTTGCAACTTGACATTAAGGACGTTGCTCACGTGTGGGTGTTGGAAAGTCATATGGAATGTAGGAAGATTGTTTTTATTTAATTCTTTATTTTTGACCTGTAGCTTATTTTATTTATTTAAATATTTAAAGATATTAAAATTAAATACCATAGCTTCAAGTTATAATGTTGTGGAAAGAGTGCATATGTAAACAAACAGTTTAGCAAGGACATTGTTTGGTTAAAGTAACAATTAAAGTGTATTATGTGTTAGTGAATTATCATAACCTCATAGATTAAAGAGAAGTGTGGAATAGAATGAAAGCTAAAAGATTAGTATTCGAGAACAAGGGAGGAATATACTGCAATAATTGAGTGAGTGAACAATGACAAGTTTTATAAAATTTTAGAAGTTCAATTATCTTTATATTGAAATGTTTCATGAATAAATCATGTTGTGAGAGTGTTAAGGAGTAAATTGCAATGTTGGAATTTCCTCAAATGAGTGGATAACATTCCAATTAATTTATTGATTAAAATTCTCTTTTATAAAATTATTATTTATATTTTATTTTGTTTTTATCATTAGCAAACCACATATATATGAATAGATACCTCTTTTATTGGATACTTTAGTAAGATGGATTATCTTCAAAATATATCTCTTTTATCATATATTTTGGTAAAATGGCTCATTCCTTAATTATGTTGGATTGATAAAATGTTTGTACGTGTTTAAATAATTTTACTTGATGAAGCCATGCATGAAATTGGGTAAAGAAATTATGAAATGTTGGTTATATATTTTCATGCATGTTTGGAGATTTCTAAGAGAACTATATGCAGAACACTAGTTGCTAGCAGCAGTTCTATTGGTCCTTAGAGCGCTAAGGTGAATGACTGGCTAGTTCGCTTTTGTGGGCTTTGCTCTCACATTTGATATTCGTGAGTCTTATACTTGCATTTGATTTCATAACTTCGAGCCTCATTTAGCTAGCATTATCCTTGTGAATTGTGTGTTTACGTTTGTTTTCGTGGCATAAGTCGTGTTTGTTTACTTACCCTTGTGGATTATATGTTTACATTGGTCTTCATGGCATAATTAAGCTCTGTTTGTTTACTTACCCTTGTGGATTATATGTTTACATTGGTCTTCGTGGCATAATTAAGCTCTGTTTGGTTATTTACCCTTATGGATTGTGTGTCTACATTTGTTACTTGTTCTGTTTAGTCCTTAAAGTTTTGAACTTTTAATTGATATATGCATTTAAATTTTATTGGTTTCAATTAATAAGTATGCTATCTCTTCTATTCACATATAAATTATTTGATTCCTTAAAAACTAAAGATAGAGTGTTTTAGTTTACTCTTATTTAATGGTTTATGATTTTTGATTTTAAGATTTAGTGAGCATATTATATTGAATTATTTTCTTTCCAATTATTTATACAATTGTTTAAGTTTATTCAAGTTATTCTTTTAAATTTTATCATTATTGGGATGTTATTCACTGAAAATTATTATTTTAATTTCATATACATTAGCTAGTAGTGTACTTCCTGCTAATCATTGAGAGGCTGTAGTATTCAGTTGAAGTAAAAAATTGTAGATCAAACTTCTTAAAATGTAAATTTAAAATTCATGTATTATAATTTGTAAATTTAATTTTAGACGCTCAACATAAACTACGGATAGGATCCTAATCTTCTTATAGTGTTGTTTGTCTATTGTTGAGAAGTAGGGCTCCTTTTTGTTTAATTGATATTCTAGAAATTTTGGAAGATTCTGTTTTTGGGAGAAGTTTTGCAAACATTTCTACAAAAGATTGGTGATTTGTAGTTTATATAAAAAGTATTATAAGATTGTCTAATTATAGTAATTACATATTCAAGTATTAGAAATTAGAGTTTTTTTTTTTTAGTTAATGCTTTTGGGATATATATATTGTTCCTATAATCCATATCGGTCACACCTTATTTTTGGGGCGTGACAATTTATGTAAACTTTAAATATATATAATTCTTTTTTTACTATTGCTATTGTTGGTTGTTAAAATTAAATAATACTTTTTAAAATCTCACCTATATTTATGTAACAATTCAACAAGTAACCGTTGCATAAATGGTGTTTTATATTTTTTTATTTTGTAATAGTGTGATGACTTGCAAGGCCCCAACTAGGGTTTCATTTAAGTTTTATTTTTTTAAAGGTTGTCCTCCATGTTTGAATTCTTTTATATAGCATGGCGCAGGAATAGTTATAAATTAACTAATATATTAATCAAATGTTCTAACGACATTTACAATACTTAAGTTGCATCATTGCCAATGACCTTGCAGGCATGCAAGCTCTCCTGTGTAAGTGGGAGGTCATGGGTTTTATCTCACTTGTAATTTCAGGATATTAATGCCTATTTTAATTAAAGAAAGTTGCATCATTATAAATTTGATGTAAATATATATGTATATATATATGGAGGGTAGTTAGTTATAATAGTCCCCGCCTCAAGGGGAGAAAACTTTATATACAGTGATTATTATTATGAATCTGAACGTCGGGAAGCCTAAAAAAAATATAACTTACAAATTTAAGGAGCTATTTTAATCAATAAACTAATTTTTTGAAAAAGAGTTTCCTGTTAGACTTGTAAAATTGGGCTTTTTATTATTGAAAGACCAATATCATGGCACGAGAAATAAATATAATTTAAAAGACATGCAAATATAAATAATTAATCATGAAGACATGTATAAATTAAATTAAAATTAAAAACAACTAAAATTATTGCTCCTCCATTTCAGTTTGTTCTCAAAAGACTCTAAAGACATTCAAAATTGATTTTTGGCTGTCCAGGTATAAAAATTGGACGTTTTAAAATAACCTTAACAACCTTTATTTAGAATATTCAATATTTTGTAGTTTTTAATCCTTTAAATATAGTATAGTATTGTCTTTCTTCTTGATTTGATTTGATTTAAAATCTCATCCTTCTCTGTTTCCCCACCCCCACCAAAAAATATAATAGAGCATGTTTGGTAATCTGTTTTGAGAATAATTTTTTATTCTCCAAAACAAAAAAAGAATAAAAAAATTTATTTGATAATATGTTTTTAAAAAGTATTTTATAGAAAAAAAATAAAATTTTTTAGAGAATAAAAAAATGAAAACATTTTTAAATTATTTTAAAATTATTGTTTTGAAGAGTAAAGGAGAATGAGATAAACACTTATTTTTATTTTTTTTTCTTAGAACATGTTTTGAAAACATCAGTTCTCATAACAATAAAATAAAATTAATTTTAAGCAAGTCCTAAGTCTTTCTCTCTTCCCAAATCATATCAATCCTTAATGACTAATCTTTCTTCTTTTTTTTAATTCCTGTTTTCCTTATTTTGAGCTCCAGTTGCTTTCACTTCTACCTCTTCCTTCTTCTCATATGTGTGTATGCGGGTGTATACATTTGCCGTCTCTTCTTTCCTACTTCTTTTATAATTTTTCTGCTCAATAGATTTTACATCAAAATTTCTTTTTTATTTTGTAATTGAATGATAAGAGAAAAATATATAAAAAATAATTAACTATATATAAACTACTAATAAATTTGATCAAGTATAATTCAAAATATATGTCTATTTAAATATAAAATATGCACTTATCAGGTACCTTGATGTGGAAAAACTGTGTGGTTAAATATTGGGAAAAATTTGCGTAGTTACATCAAAATGTAAACAAACTAGAAATTAAAAATATAATACATGGAACAACGGGCAAAAAAGAAAAGACAACTACATGAAAGATTCCGTGGGTGAGAGGTTTCAACTAAAGTTATATATCATATAAACTTGAATTGCACATTCATCAAATGAGCCATCCTCTCCCACAAGAGATGGAACTCTTGAAAATGGAAACTGCTTACCATGATGAAGATGAGGAAGTGAGAAACCTCTACGATGCAGCATACGAAGGGAGTGTTCTAATCTTTAACTCACTGATAGAGCAGGACCCACTAATCTTGCACAAAATTTGCTCGCGAACAACCTTTGTTGAAACTCCTTTTCACATATCGTCTTTACTTGGTCACCTTGAATTCATCAAAACCCTTCTTACTCTGAAACCCACACTTGCCCGTGAATTTGACTCCTTCTGAAGCACTGCTCTCCACTTTGCTTCTGCAGGGGGTCATATCGATATTGTGAAGGAGCTGCTTCTAGCTAGCTTATGACTAGGCATTCTTGGTTCGTGATGAAGAAGGAACAATTCCATTGCACGATGCGGTATATGAAGAAGACTAGAGGTTGTGACAGAGCTTATCAGACTGAAGCCTGAAATTATGGGGATTCTTGACGAAGGGAAAACTATGTTCCACTTCTGTGTTACATACAACCACTTGGCGATCCTAAAAGCGTAGGTGGAATCGAATATTGGCTCCAATGAGCTTCCCCATTTGAATGACCGGGATGAAAAGACTGTTCTTGATTTGGCTATCATGTTGAAGCAGGTTGGGGTAAATTTTTCTGCCAATCAATTATTCAATTAATATTTTCTTGTATTGACAGAAAACGATTCACTGACATGTTGCGTTCAACATTAGATCGTGAGGTACCTCCTTTCAATTCGTAACATAAGAGAAGCTGCATGCTTGAAGAAGAGATGGACTTTGCAGATCATCATTTCAAAGACTTCAAAAGCCTTCAAATCCAACTCATGTTGACGAACACTGGGATCCAAATTGCTGAAAGGAGCCAAATGGGAAGACCTCCTCAGCCACCACCATTAGAAACTACTTTGGAGAAGGTTTGGAGAAAGATTTCAGGGATTAAGGAACCACATAATTCTAATTGGTTGGAAGAGATGAGGGGGAATTTGAGTCTCGTGGCTACAATGATCTCAACCATAAGCTTTCAAGCAATGATTAACCCTCTAGGTGGTTTCGTTCAACAAGGTATACTTTCAGATAACGAAACCTTCCAATGCGTGACGTCAATCGATGGTTACTATGCATGCCCTGGAGAATCAGTATCAGCCATTGTATATTTCACCCCTACATAAAGTACAATACTATCTGTTTTATTGGATCTCTCAGTGTCGTTCTCTTGCTCGTAAGTGGAGTTTCTCTGAAGCATAAAGCTGTGATATGGATGTTATCCATTGGCATGTGCATCACCCTCACATTTTTATCACTCACATATCTTCAAGGCCTCTACATGGTGATTCCAGAGGGTAAAATTTTTTCCTCAGCCAGGAAAATGTTCATAGCGTCAGTTTGGAGTTGGATTGGATTTCTAGCGGCTGTTGCTGTGTTCTTCACGTCGCGCTTCCTCTTTCGGCTAGTGACAAAAGTGAAGAACATGTTCTGACGTCAGATAACGTTTCATCAAATAATGTATTAATTTGTTCTTTAAGTAATATGGAGCAAACGAACATATCAGAGCTGTTACTTAGATTATTGTCATCGCATGTTCTGTAACTTCTTTCTTCTTTGCAAAGTTGTGTTAATTCATAATGACTGTACTATTCACGTATTTTGAGTTTGTAACACATGCATTTGCTGCTGTTGTTGTGTAGCCCGCGAGTTTCAAATATTAAGAAATTAGAAGTGTTCAATTTTCATATATAACTCTTAAGATTTTATTTTTCCATGGCTGATTTTCTAAATGAATTATATATAATTAATATGTATTTTAAGAAAACAAATTTTCTAAAGTCGAAATTCATGAATTTATGTGAAGTTTCTTTTCTTATTTTTCCACAATGTTTTATGATTTTTTTAATTGAACATGAAACTTTTCTCTTCTACTCTTCTGCTCCAAATTATAAGACAATTAAAAACAAGATTAAGCATATCAATACAAACAATAATGATGCTTTACAAATTTATTTTTCATAATAAAACTATAAAATTTTAAAAAATACTCTTACACACTTAATCATTACACTACAATATTATTTTAATTTTCTCTCTACTTGAAAGGTAATATTAAAAAAAATATATCATATTTTAGAATAAAAAATCTTTTTAAAATTATTTTATAATTTGGGATGAAGGATGTAACTTTTTTTCAGCCTATTCTCTTCTACTCAAAATGGTAAACGTCGTACAAATCACCAATTCTTAACTTGCCATTCCCACATTTAATACCAACACGGAGGGAAAAAAAAACATGTACGCCTTCTCCTTTATCGATGCCGAATTGATTAATTTTAATTTACAAATTCCATAATCATCGTTGAAGAACTATACATATATGATGCAATCTACATAGGTTCATCAACTGATTAGAGGGTTGGTTCAGTTTAATTAAAGGTCTCAAATTCAAGCTCAGGTCTAAAAAAGTATCTGCAAGCTACTAACTGAATTAGTCAAGGTCAAATATTTTTAGGATGCTAGAGCGAAAGAAAAAAAAAACATTTCACGGCCAAAAAAAAATAAAATAAATATCTCAAAAATAACTTTTGAAAACCATGTAATACATTACTTGATTTAAAGGGTTCTCAATGGTTGGTTTGTGCAAAGTTTGCTTAGACTTTTACTTAATTGATATCTATTTTATTTTATTAAAATTAAATTCATTTTACTTATTACTTAATATTTGATTCTATTTTTTATTAATTAATAATATTAATATGCATTAATCTTTTTATTAATTTACTACTTTCCACTTTAATTTTAAATTTCAATTTAGAATCATTATATTTGACTTTTACCATTAACAAAAGTTAACTTAATAAGAAAATGACAGGAAAAGATTTCAACAGTTTTAGAAAAAGGCCAAAAAATTGCATTCAAGGACCAATATTTTTGAAAAAATTACATTAAAGTCTCATACAAAGAAATTAATTATTACAAAGTTCAGTGACAACTGATTGTATTGTGAATCTTCTTAATTTAGTTGTCAATAAACCTTATAGTAATTAATTTTCTTGTGTGGGATTTGGATGTAATCTTCCCTTTTTTTTAATATTTTTTCATCATTTTCTAGTCTAGATTACATTATTTTTAAAAGTGGAAGACAAACATTATAGCAAAAATAAGTTTAAGGTCCCAAACGCTTCTGAATATATAATTTAACAGTCAATTTGCTCTTTTACCCATAAATTAATAATACAAAGAAGAGGTATTATTCTTATTTTGCATAAATTTTAGCGTGTTCTTCAATGTTTTATAACCATTTTTACATTTTAGCCCTTAATTGTTGATATAATTGCTTAGAGAGTCCGTTTCAGTTATCTAGATAATGCTACTTGCGCAATGCTCAGTTTTTCTTAATCTATTTTGGCATTTTCAATTTTACTTTTACAAAGACAACAAGCCTTATGTCACTAACTGAAGTTAGTAACATGGATTGTACAATGCTCAATTTTACTTTTATTTAATTAAATATTAAAATAAATATATTTCCCTTCTTCTAATAAGAAGTAAAATCGCTTCTGCTGGAAGCCGTGTGTTTTGCAGCACATGTCCATCTCATATTTCACGGATCTGATGAATGTTCTTCGTACTTTTGCTATATAATTATTCATTTAATTTAATAGTATAAGAATGTCAATTATAAAATTAAAATAAATATATTATTCATTTAATGACTACTCAGAAAAACCATTTTGTGCTCTTATTTAAAAAAATTAATTGAATAACAGATATGACTGAGTATAGAGAGAGATATTGAGAGATGGTATATGTATGGAAAGTATCCAAATCCTGTAGTTGTAAAAGCATGCATTTGATTTCATTTATAAGAAATGTAATGCCTAATAAATAATCTAATTAAGAAATAGATAAACAGTTGCATGATAAATTTTACAAATCTGTGCATGACTGGCTGGTGTCCATAGGGATGTCTATATCCCTCTTACAGATATAGTCATGTAGAACAAATTATGCCACCAGCACTTCCTTATAAATTCAATCATCATATATATGATCTCACGAATTTTGCATGGACTCAGTAATTGACACTGGTAAATGATTATATTTCTCATCCTCCACCTTGCTTTAATAATTAAACCATTAATTAGTATTTGATGCATTCCCCTAACCTTGCTTTAAAAAAAACTATATAGACCATGACCGAGTCAATGATCATGATTGAAAACGAGGATTGCTTCCTCTTCATAAATATCATCGTCCAGTGAGATTACTCGAGCAAATTGCAGAGCCGAGAAGAAACGCGGGCAAATGATGACTTGCAAGATCCCAACCAGGGGTTTAATTTAGTTCTCATTTAGTTTAAAGGCTGTCCTCCATATATATGGAAGGTAGTTATTATAAACCCCCCCTCCCAGGAGAAAAAACTCTATATACAGTGAATATTATTATGAGTACTATATCAAGAAGCCTCCAAAAAAAAAAGTAGCAGAGAATGATATATGGGTTCCAAGGGGACAAATTAATTAATTAAATTTCAAATGTCAAACTCTAAAAATTTGTAAGTTCAGTTCTTAATTTTGTAATTTTACTGTGATGAATTTATAATTTATTTTTTAAATTTTAACATGGTTGAAGAATAAATAAATTTATTTTTCCTGTTAAAATTTGAAGCACAAGTTACAAATTTGTCACATTAAAGTTGTAAAATTGAGAGTCGAACTTACAAATTTCTAGAATTTGACATTTAAAACTTAATTTGAATTAATTGGTTTTTTTAGGACCTATCTATCATTCTCCCAAAAAATAGAGTTCATAAACTTAAAGAGCTATATTCTATCCAATATTAAACTAAATTTTTGAGATCGATTTTCCCTTGTACATGTAACATTGAGCTTTTTTCATGACACGAGAAATGAATATAATTTAAATGACATATAAATGTAATTAATTAATATCATGAAGACATGTATACATTAAATTAAATTCAAACACAACTAAAATTATTGCCCCTCCACCTGAATTTTCTCTTGAAAGACTATAAATTAAAGACTTTCAAAATTGAGTTTTGTCCAGTTTAAAATAATCTTAGGAACCCTTATTTATAATAATAAGCATTTTATATATTTTATAATCCTTTAAAAATATATTTTTTATTTGATTTGTATAAAATATTAACTTCAATGCACAAATTGTCTTTTATCCAGATTAATGACAACCATATACAACGTTGTTTACTTCAATGAATATAATATTTTTAAATATATTATATATAGTTAATTTGTTTTTCATTAATGAAATATTGTATATAACTATATATAATATATTTAAAAATATTTCAAAATGAAAAGTGGCATCACATATCTTTATATTATTTTTTTAAATATTATAAGATTTAGATATTTAAAATAATTTTAATTAATATTTTATACAAATCAAATAAAAAATATATTTAAAAAATATGTTTCATTTAATTTTTCATTTAAGTTTTCTTAAATTTTTATTTTAGCCCTTGAAGTTTTTAAACACAAAGTAATTGTCAAATTAATCTACATGTAAAGTATACAAATGACTTGGCATGTATATAGATGTAATTAAATAAAAACAAATTAACCCTCAAATCAGTTTTTTTTATCAATATATATAGTCTTACACTGCATTTTGTTCTTTTTTATATAAAAAAATTCTAATTTTGTTTTCTTCAACCTAAATAATTATTCTTTTTTTATTAATCTATATGGTTGTCATTAATACTTCATTACTTATGTCAGCAAATTTAATAGTGTTACCTCCTTTTTAAATAATAAGGACCAAATTGATAATTGAAGTAAATTTATAGATCAAATGTATAAAAACTAAACTTGAGGAATAAATCCGATAACTGAAAGAAAATTACAGGACTAAAATTTTCATTATTCATTAAATATTTTTATATCTCTTATTTTATATTCATTGAGCAATGGTCAAAGAAGAATGCTGAAATGATCAAATTCATGAAACAAGCAGTGGCGTACACAAGTATGAATATTGGCGGGCAAGTGCCCCACTCAAAAAAATTTACAAGGAGTTGGTGAAACTTTTAAAAAAAATTTTTCATTGTCCTTATAGTTTTGAACCCACTAAATACAAACTAAAATATATTTGAGTTCAAATTTTTTTGGGTCTTTTATATTTCATTTAAGAGAAAAAAATTTTGAATTTTAAATCCATTATATTTAAATTTAGATTATTTGTATACAAATATCATCTAATTTTTATTTTCCAATATTATTTTACAAAAATAAATATATATAATTATTTTATTATTATTTTTATATTTTATATAATTTAGGAACCAATTCTGCGTTCGCCACTGCATGCAGGAGTGGCGTTCCAAATGAAAATTAGTTACATCAAATTGTAAACAACGTTGAAATTGAAAAATTAATACATCAAATTCTTAGTTTATTTTTTCCTTTTCAATTTTACTTTTATAACAAGAAGTCTCCCACTAGACGGAGTTGGTAAGATGGATTTCACAATGCTCAATCTTACTTTTATTTAATTAAATATTAAAATAAATACATTTCCTTCCTTTCTATAATAAGACTGCAAAAATGCCTTTGCTAGAAAGCATGTATT